CGGCTGAGGGCCCCCGGGGCCGGGCCCGCGCGCCCCCTCGCGCCATCGGGCGGCGACGCTGGGCCAGAGGACAGCCGGGGAGCGACGGTCTCCCCACCGCGCGGCTCCCGCGCGCGCACCTTGGGCCGCGCCGAGCCTCCTGCAGCCGAGCGAACAAAGGGGGCGGGGGCCGGCCCGGCGGAGGCCCCGCCCCTGACGCCCAGGCCCCGCCCTGATCTCCGCCCCCGAGGCCGTTGCGCCAATCGAAGGCCCGACCCAGCAGCAGGGGCGCCGCGGAAGCCTTTAAAGAGACCCCTCGACGATCCGGGTCCACAAGCTCGCTGGGGCCCTGGAGAGGTTGCTTGCGGTCTCCGGAGGGACACAGCCCCAAGAGCTGATCACACCGGAGCCGCAGACCCTCAGCCTCTGCGTGACCTCCCCCCGGCCCCCCTCCGCCGCCCATAAATACGGAAGCCGGGCGCAGGGAGGGGAATGCCAAGGTCACGCAGGAGTTTAGTGGCTAAGCGAGGGTAAGCACCCGGGTGTCCCGGCCCGGCGCTTCCCTGTAGAGCGTCCCACATCGCCTGATGGTTTGTGTTCCGAAAGCTCCGGAAAGCCTCTCTTCTGCATTTATTCCGGTGAATTGCCAACCTTTACTTAGGGGGGATTCTCGCTAGTGTCTAACTAAAATCCCCTGTCCCTACAACCCTGCAGCGTTTTTAAGTTCATCTTTGGGTTGGTTCCTGGTCAGGCTCCTAGCCTAGACAGCTCCTCCGTTCTTGGGGACCACGAGGGCTCCAGTGACCTTTATGACCTACAGATGACTCCCACCTCCAGCCCCCCCACCCCCTTATCCCTGCTCACACTCTGCCAGTTGCGGCTGGGGGGGCAGAGGGTCGGCGTGGGAGGCCTGAGCTGCCCCAGGGAGACAGGGAACAAAGGGAGCCCTGAGCTCCAGGCACCTGGGTAGAGGCTGGGGGGAGATGGGAGGAGGTGGGAGGGGGAGGAGGCGGGGAGGGCAGCTGCCTTCATTTGGGTACAAAAGACAAGGGAGCCCTGAGGCCTTGAAGCACTGGGTGGTGGTGGAGAAGAAATCACATTTGCCTTTCCAGTCCCTCTCCCACCTCGGAGACCAGCCCCTTCTCCCTGCCCGCCAGCTCCCAACATTGGGGCTATTCACGGGGCCCCTCACCAGCTGCCTGCCCTCCCCTCACTTCAACCAGCTCCCTCCGCTGGACCAAGCCCAAGAGGAGGACCCAGCTGCAGCTCCAGATGTGGAAGGCGCATGCTGGGGGAGGGGAAGAAGGGGAGTCTGACTCCCAGCCTCTTGCATCACCCTCAGATGATGAAACCACGTCAGAGATTTAGAAAAGGGCGCGGGCTAGGGGTGGAGGGCGCATCTTTGGTGCCATCCTCCTCCCTTCCCCTCCCCGACCCAACCAAAATAACTGTTCCACCATAGCCCACATCCCAGTTTGGTTTGGTCAGACCAAAAAGCAAAAGATAATTTCAAGGGCAGATTTCAAGGGCAAATCAACACCCTCTACCCCAATCTGATGGAAAACAGCAGCACCACCTCAGGTGTCCTTGGGTACAAGGGGCAGGGGTGGGGGAGGGCTTGGCAGGACCCAGCACATCTCACTAGCATTTGAACCAAGAGGAAGAGCTCTCTGGGGTCAGTGTTTCCCCCATCCTGGAGCAGGAGACCAGCAGAGTGCTGAGGAGTCAGACCCTGGACATGCTCTTCCAACCAAGATGAGAACTGGGGAGGACACTGACATTTATGGACCATCTACATGAACAAGGTACTTTACACACATGTTCTCATGTCATACTCATCACCTGTGAGCTAGGCTTTAGTAGCAGAGCAGTGTTAGTTGCTCAGTCATGTCCAACTCTGTGACCACATGGACTGTGGCCTGCCAGGCTCCTTTGTCCATGGGATTTCCCAGTCAAGAATACTGGAGGGGTGCCATGTCTTCCTTCAGGAGATCTTCCTGACCCAGGAATCAAACCCAAGTCTCTTGCATTGCAGGCAGTTTCTTTACCATCTGAGCCACCAGGAAGATCTTGATTCGTTTCAATTTTGCTAAAGGGGCCCTGAGTGTCACCCAGCATATAAGCAACAGATGCAGGACTGAACTCGTGCCGCCTGTGAAGTGCATCCAGACTCACCAGGCCACCTCCAAACAGATGCCCGGGGAAAGGGTCTGGGCAGCTAGGCTCTAGACTTGTGCTCTCCAGACAGCAACGTTGCATTTTGCGAGGCTGCTCTCCTGACCAGCAGAGTTGGCTTCTCCAGGGGCTGGCTCTGGTTTCCTGCCTACTGGAGGTCCCCTCTGACTTCCGAGAGTAGGTGACCTTCTGACTCATAGCTTCACTGCTTCACTGCTGGGAAACGGCGCCAGAGCCCTGCGCTTTCCCCTCCCCCATCCCTCCAGGGCACACGGTACTGAGCCTGGAGGAGCCAGGAGGTGCCCAGGCTGATGCTAGGGCCTCCTAGAGGTCAGGACCTCAGAGTGGCTCCCTCCTGGGCCACCAGGGAGCCGCAGGGCAGCCTGCTGACCAGATCTTGCCTCCTGGAGCTGCCAGTCTGAGGCAAGAAGGTCAGATGGGGATTCAAGGGGTGGTCAGGAAGCTTAAACCACAGCCTGGGCAGATCTGGTTAGAGGGTTGGGGGAAGCCTGGGATGGACACTCCTCAGTGCCCCCAAGCCTCAGCTCAGCCCTGCTCCTTCCCTGGGTGTGTCCCCACCGCCCCCATCCTCCCACTGCTCTTCTCCCTTCCCTCCTTCCCACCCCCGGGGCTGATCTGCCTCAGCTGCCTGTGCACATCTCCCCCCACCAACCCCCCACATGCACACACGCATGTGCACACACCCACACACGTGCAAACACACGTGCGCACACACCCACACACATGCACATATGTATGTGCATACACACATGCACACACAATGCACATGTGTGCTCACACAGGCACATACATGTGCACTAGTCACGCACACACATGTGTGCACACTCAGGCACACGAGGCACACACGTGCACATGCATGTGCACACACACACACTGGACTGCAGTGTGAGCCTCAGTTCTGGCCCCAAGCCAAGACCCCCACCCCCCCACTGGGCATCTCGGGCTCCATTATCTCTTCTGACAGGAATGGTGGGCGTCTGGGCAGATGGAACCCTGGGGGCCTGTCCATGGCAGGAGTCTCCCACGCTACTGTGGAGATAGTACTAGACTCCGGCAGCGATGGGGGCAGCCATCTGGCCCAGATCTCTCCTGCCCGACCCTGCTCCCTAGAGCAGCCTGACAGCAACAGGGCCTGGAAGGCTCCACAGGGGTGGCCTGCCCTTGAGTCTGCTCTGTGGTTCTTCCTCAGGCGAGCACCAGGCCCTGGCTGTGGGAGGAAGTGTCTGAGCCTTGCTCTGGAGTTCTGGCGGTGGGGGGCCGGCCTCCGGTCACAGCACCGCCCCCCCCCGGCCCCCCGTCCTGCCCAGCTGGGCTCCTGGGAGAACAGGCCATAGCCCACCCTGCTGGTGGTGGGCACCACCTGAGCCCACCTGGAGACAGAGCCTCCTGCCTGCCCACAGGAGCTGTGAGCCCCAGACATGGCCTTCTAGTGTGCAGATGTGGGGACCTCCGCTTAGTGAAGGCCCAGCCTGACTTCCCCTGTTATAGAGAAAGACAGATTCGGCCATAGAGGAAACCAGAATTTGTTATAAATAGCAAGGAAGAGAGAGAAGTGCTGTGGATTACAAATAAAATCACACACACACACACACTATTTTTGGTTTCAGATGTAGATGAGTTGAGGGTTTAATGCACCACATAATCTCAAACACAGGAGCTTCATCCCTTCTTCTCTGCAGTGCTTTCTAAGACAGTGTTAGAGCAGGTGTGGGCAACCTCAGCTTTCAACCCTAAGGTCATCTAGTTCAGCAAGAGTCCTTTTCAGGTGAGGACACTGAGGCCCAGGGAGGTGAAGAGATGAGTCCAGGGTCACACAGCGAGCTGCTGACCTGGCACCCGAAACCCCAGAGGGGGCAGTGCCACCCACAGTGTGGTGGGACCCACAGGCTGAACACTGGACTGCCAGTGCGAGCTCATGGTTTGCAGAAGAGTCGAGTCTGCACAAAGGAACAGAAGACAGCCGGAAGCCAGAGTCACAGAGATGCGGCTAGGCCACTCCGGCCGAGTGACCCAGGCAAGTTAGGGAGCTGTGCCCATTGTACGTCCCCCCCACCCCAGAATGGGGACAGTCCTCTCCCTCATCGTGGACTGTCATGAGCTGGAAATGGGGTGACCTGGGCGGAGCACCCTTCACAAGGCTCCGCACAGAATGGAAATGAATTTCCTTCATTTCCTGTCTCTTCTTCTATGAGCCCCCATCCTCTAACTGGACAGAGAACCAACCTGTCGTAAGATGGACAGGAAGTGGGAGATGAGTGTGTGTGAGGCTGGGTGCAGGGGGTGTGCTGCGGTTGCCTGCCCAAGCGGTCCTCGTCACTGGGGGTGGGGAGGATCTCCAGCCTCTGTCGGTGGAGGGGCCAGGAGTCAGATAGGTGTCTGCAGGGCGGGAGGGCCCCTGGGCACGCCAGACCCCTGCAGAGCACGGATGCCCCAGGTTCTGCCTCCCCAGGTGCCACCTGGAGGGTGTCTCCACTTTATTTTACCTGCCCAAGGGCTACCCTGGCCGAAGGCGTTAATGCGCTTTCTCTTTCACTCCTCACGGTCTGTGAGGCAAACACTCATTGTCCTCATTTTGCAGAAGAGGAAATGGGCTCAGAGGTCACTTGGCTAGTGTCTGGTCATTAGTGTCTCCCGCAAGTATTTCCGGCTCGCTGCCTCTGGCACAGGGCAGGCCAGCGTGTCCTCACTCTGGTGTGAGCTGTGGCCCCGTGACTTCCTTTGACCAATGAAATGCGAGCAGAACGCACAAGTATCCCTTGTAGGTGGATGCTTTGCACACCCGGGCACCACACACAATTGCATGTGGTTTAGGGTGTCTGCAAGCAATGAACTTTCATTGTGAGGAGCCGCTGAGACTACGAGCTGGTGTGTTACCTGGGCAGTGCCCCCCCAACCTGTACCGATGCCCCCAGAAGGTGCAGAGCGGCGTCTGGTCGGGAAAGATGCCCTGGGCAGTGTCCCCCAGCCTGCACCGATGCCCCCAGAAGGCGCAGAGTGGCATCTGGTCGGGAAAGACGCCCTGGGCAGTGCCCCCCAACCGGTACCGACGTCCCTAGAAGGCACAGAGCGGTGTCTGGTCTGGAAAGACGCCCCGGGCCCACAGTCTCTCGGGACTCCAGCTCTTCACGCAGACCCACAGACGCCACTTTGGGGTTCTGGCCTCCAGGCTACGTGGAGCCCTGCTGGCAGGTAGAAGGGGGCAGGCATCCTCAGGAACCACTCGGAGAAGCAATTAGGAAAACCCCAGGGCCTTTCTGCACCACTGGTTGTCACCTGGCGAGGAGTGGTCATGGAGGGGGTGTCAGGACACACCTGCGCTAATGTTGTGGGGAGACCCCTTCCAGGGCCTGAGAACGGACTCTTGTCTAACACTCGGAAATGAACCGTCCGAGGAGACGCATGTGCTGACAAAGCAAGAGGCTTTATTGGGAAGGGGCGCCTGGGCGGAGAGCAGGAGGGTGAGGCAGCCCAGGAGAACCGCTCTGGCCTGTGGCTTGCAGGCTCGGGTTTTATGCTGATGGGGTTAGTTTCTGGGTTGTCTCTGGCCGATCATTCTGACTCAGGGTCCTTCCTGGGGGCAGGCATCACTCGGCCAAGAGGGACTCCAGCCAGGAGGATTCTGGGAGGTGGTAGGATGTATGGACTGGTGACCTTTTCCAAATTCTTCTGGTTGGTGAGGGCTTGTTGGTTCCAAGTTCCTTCCCAGGCCCTCCTGTTGTCAGATCACTCATGCAGGTGGTTACCATGGTGCCTGGTCAGGGTGGTGGTCTTGGACAGTGGCTCCCCTAACACTGACCCTGGCCCTGCTCATTCAGCCTTCCCCACAGCACTCTGTCAGTCCTCTGTGAAACAGGGCCTCTGCAAAGGGCTGGGTAACTGCCTGGAGACCCCAGACAGATCTGTCTTCTCAGAGACAAAGTACCAGCTTCTGCCATTTCTGACCATGGTGCTGGCATCGAAGAACAGATGCTTTCGAACTGTGGTGTTGGAGAAGACTCTTGAGAGTCCCTTGGACTGCAGAAAGATCAAACCAGCCCATCTTAAAGGAAATCAATCCTGAATATTCGTAGGAAGGACTGATGCTGAAGTTGAAGCTCCACTATTTTGGCCACCTGATGCAAAAAGACAACTCATTGGAAAAGACCTTGATGCTGGGAAAGACTGAAGGCGGGAGGAGAAGGGAGCGACAGAGGATGAGATAGTTGGATGGCATCACCGACGCGATGGACATGAGGTTGAGCAAGCTCTGGGAGCTGGTGATGGACAGGAAGGCCTGCGTGCTGCAGTCCGTGGGGCAAAAAGAGCCGGACACGACGGAGCGACTGAACAACGAGAAGGAGTCATCAGCTGCGAGCCGTGAGGTCAGTCCTGCTCAGGACCTCCCGAAGACTTCAGCCCGGGAGACAGGCTCGTGGCAGCAACACGGAGCTGCTCAGAAGAGGTGAGAGCAGGCCAGCCTCATGTGATTTGGAGAAGGGGTATGTCCCCCCGAAGCAAACATCTCACTAAGGGTTTGCTAGTCATGGGGGACAGATGTCTCCAATGATGATTTTAGTGCTTTTCTAGGTATGAGAAGATACAAGAAATTAGGCTCATAAAATCTGAAACTATCTAACTCTGAAGGTCTGCTCTGCAGGCTTTTCTGGAGCACAGAGGGCCTCATTTCTGATCTCTGCCCTGAGCTCTTTCAGAGAGTATTGAAGGTTGGTGACTAGAGTGGCCAATGATGTCATTCTTATGGAACCAGGTGGCCAGTGGCCCTCTCAAATGGACAGAGTTTCCCGGGGTCATCGGAGAAGGCCCGACAGAGGAGACGGGCTGGGACAGAGGAGGAAGGTTGCTGGGTGCACAGAGGTGCCGAGGGCATTGGGGTACCCATTCTGGGTGGGTTCTGGGCAGGGCGTGGCCCAGCTCAGTAGGGGGTGTGATGGGGCTGGGTTAGGGACTGTCCTGCCATCCTCCTGATAACGGGAAGTCAGCAGCTCCAGAGTGGTGCCCGGGCCCCTCTGGACCCCTGGCCTGAAAGCTAACTCGGCCTTTCCTGGAATGAGTTTAATAACAACCCACTTCCTGGATGGTGTCGCAAGGCTGAATGAGACATTGCGTCAGGCACTTAATGAACTGGGTTTGATAAGGTCACTACTATCATTCTATGATGACAGAACGATAAACTGGCAGAGGCGTTTTAAAGGGCTCATGACTAGAAGTGGGCTGGGCGGCCCCTCCACTGGGCCCGCCTGTCTCTCGGGCCTCCTCCTGGAACCGGGCTCCTTGCATGGACTCTGATGCACGCTCCTCCTCTCGATCTTGGCTTCCTTTCTGACCACAATGAAATCTCCTCTTCTGATCATTTTAAACAAACACTGCTTGGCTCTCCCTCCTCTGAACCCTCCAAACCCCAGCAGCTGATGCTCCACGTGTTTCTCTGACATCCTAGTGTTTTCAATTCTTGTTTGACACTAAGATTATTATTTTGCCCTATGTATCTAGGCCAACTTCTTTTAGACTGCTTCTAAACCGGATTTAGGCTCCACTGGGGGACAGCTGTATGCCATAGGAGGAAGACGCGATGGGGTAGGGAGCTGGAGGACGAATCCAGCCCTGCCGGGCAAACGCCACCCTCAGCTGGCTCATCAGTAAACTGGCAGCAGGACCCTTGCAGGGAGGGGGAGCGAGTGTCCCCTGCCATCATAGCTGTCGGGCCCCAGGCAGGAGTGGCGTGTAACTGGGGTCAGATGCCAGGGAATGGGGCCAGGGTAAGGTCTGGGTTGACTGTGGCTTTTCCAGTGACCTGTGTGCCTGGCCTCCACACCTGCTGGCTGAGGGTCGGAGCTGCAGAGCCTGTGAGAGGACCAGCCTGATGTTGAGATGTGCGGTTGGGGGCCGAGCTGCCCAGCTTCCCAACAAGAGACTCGGAGCCCCATCAGGTCAGCCTCCGCCCCATGAGGTTGGGCTCTCTCAGTGACCAGCTCTAACCCAGTCCAAGCAGCCGCTTCTTGGAGGGCCGGGCCCTTCCACAGTCACCCTCATGCCTCCCAACAGCCTAGGAACAGAAATCATTCCCCCATTTACAGGAGGAAGAAGCTTGAAAGGGTGTGTGAGGGCCTGACATCAGGGTGTGGGGCGGGTGGAGGGCCTTGGGGCTTCACCGGCCCGGCTCCAGGGCTGTGCTCTGTCACCTTGCACAGGGCAGCTCGGCTTCAAGGACCACTTGGCCCGGCCAGAGCTGGGCCTGGAGATGCACCGGGACCAGAGCCAGGGCGCCTCCACACTTGGGAGCTGGGCCAGCCTCCTGGTTCAGAGATGCTCCATCTGAGCTCCACAGCTTCCAGATGAGAGAGGGGGCTTCCCGGGCCCCGAACATGGCTCAGTGACTGCCCCCGCCCCTTCACCTTGCCCCTTCTGCAGATCCCCCAGCACAGCTGGGCCCCAAGTCTGCAGGGGATGGGCTGGGAGAAGCTGGGGTGCAGCAGACAGCACTCTGGCTGGGAACCTGGTTGGAAGGCTCTGCTGACCAGAGGGGCCTGCCTGCCCCCCGCCGTGGACCCCCGCCTGCAGCTTTCCACCCTGTGTTCCCTTTGTCCTTTCTTTGGGGGCCTGACAGCCCTCCATGGAGACACCCACTGATCATTTGAAGGGGAGCTGGGGATAGGCAAGACTGTGTACACGCCGACCATCAGGAGGTCCTGCATGTGGCGGAGGAAATGGCCTGGACTCTCCCAGAGGGTGAGAGCTAGGCTTCTTCGGAGCTGGCGTGCACCCAGCCCTTAGGCTGGGAGGCCGGCCAGACCTCCCGTGAGGGCCGTGGAGCCATGGCGTGGGTTGAGTCCCGCCTGGGCCCTCCTACCAACGTGGGGCCTCTGGCGCATTACCTGTCCTGTCCTGTCCTGGTCCTACTTGTAAGAGGATGACGCTTAGTTTTGAGAACAAGAAGAAATGGATGCGGGGCTCCTGGAGCAGGGCCTGCCATAGAGCTGGCATTCTGTAAGCTGGGCATTACGCTCATTAATAATTCTGCTTGTGAATGGAAACCTCCTTTTATAGACTTTTTCCTGTTAGTTTTCAGCCAGGCTGCAGGTGGACTATCTTCTCTCTTCCCCGGAGGAGGCAGAGGGGCAGGGATGTGTGAGTCCTCTCCGAGACAGTGGAGCCGGGGAGGCAGACCTCACCTCGGGAGGCCTGTGCCCCCGCCCCCTCCCCGGGTCCTGGACAGACAGGGCGCAAGGCTGCAGCCCTGGGAGGGTAACCCCAGGCCAGGGGTGGGCCCCAGCCAGGGCAGAGGGCACACTGGTCAGCATTTCCCTGCGTTTGTTTGACAGTGGCTGAACACTTTGTGTAGAAGAGTGCTCAGCTCTGGGGTTCAGGATAAGCCTGGGGGACCTGCTCCTGCCTTGGTACAACGTGGCCTCAGGCTGAAAGGAAAAGCTTTAGTTGCTCAGCCATGTCTGACTCTTTGTGACCCCATGGACTACAGCCCGCCAGGCTCCTCGCTCCATGGGATTCTCCAGGCCAGAATACTGGAGTGTGTAGCCATTCCCTTCTTCAGGGGATCTTCTCAACCCAGGCACTGAACCCAGGTCTCCTGGATTGCAGGCAGATTTTTTACCAGCTGAACCACCAGGGAAGGCCTCGAGCTGGTGTGAAATAATGTCACAGTGGTGACCTGCTGCAGTGGGGACGTGTGTCATGGAGCCCCCAAGCCTTTGGAAGCATTTGAAGGGTGCTTTCTGCAGGAAGTAACAGCGAAGCTGACGACAGGCGAGGGGTCTGTTGGGCTCAGGGTTGGCTAAAAGGCGGGGCAGCTGTCCCCAGCTGGGCTGCAGCGGCTGGAGGGTGGGTAGACAGGCCTAAGGGCCAGGGCTGGGTCCAGGGCAGCCTGTCAGCCCAGGCATGGGTTGTGCACCCTATGCTGAGGCTTTGGGGGCTTCAGGGGATTTAAGCGAGGGGCTAAGATGGCAGGTTTCTCCATTGAGATGGATCAGGGTCAGGCTGGGGGCAGGCAGGAACCTGCGATGCCTTTGGGCGGCTGTGGCTGTAGGTGAGGCCGGGAACGAGG